CACTATATTTAAATGCCTCCACTTAATGCATTATATCCATATGCATGAAATTGCCTCCGCTAATGCAGTACATAAAATGCCAAAGATACAATGAATAGCCAAATTGCAAGCAGTTATGTTATCTCCCATAAAAATGATGCCCCTCCCCCTTCTTTTTTTTTGTGTGTGTGTGGGGGGGTGTTATTGAATGTGTGGACGCCAAAGGCATCTATTACAAATTGCTATTAACACACGCACAGACACACACACACATACAAACACACACACATCCTAAAGTCCTCTTCAGTTAAGTAACGTTAAGGTTGTAACACAATCTAACAAAAGCCAGACAAGTCAGGGGCCGGGCTGATGGTGCTCACCTGGTCAACCTCCCCTCACAGAGAGTGCATAGCCAGAGCAGATAGTGGAGCAAAGAGCACTTGCCTGGCCTTGGAATTAGCTGCATTAGGGGGTGTGGTTTCATGTCCCTTCCCCAGGCATTGATTTGGGAGGACCAAGAAAGATGCATCTGAGCTACTCAGGGTCCAAAAACCCAACTGAAAATAATCAAAGGTGGAGCCACTACTGGTGAGAACAACCCCTGAAGACTGGCCCTGGCAGTCTGGAGAGATGAGAACTCTGGAGAAACATGATCAAAGCGGCAGTCTGGAGAGATGAGAACTCTGGAGAAACATGATCAAAGCCAATAACTGAGAAAGGGAATATCCATGGAACCCCTCCATTCTGGAGGCTATGCTTGACTTTATACATCTTCCATGTCCTGTCATCTTTACAAACAACAGTGAAAATGTCTACAAAATCATCACTGGTCTTGTGGACTATGAAATGAGTCTCAAAGAAATTGAAGAACATGTTCAAGGTTATATGACCAGGAAGCAGCAGAGGAGGGATTTAAACCCAGCTCTCTCTGAGTTCAACGCTGCACTTTTTCCAGTGCCAGGTTGACCTCTGCAAATGACATTAAGTAATTGCAGGAATGGGTTCCATTAGGAACCTCTTTTTGCTCCAAGAAGAGCTGTCCTCTCTCCAGCAAGGCAGGGGCTATGAGGGTAGCAGGAGATAATGGTTTTGTGAGTCTTTCCTTTAACATTTAGGTTTGATTCTCTCAATTCACTCTCTGGCCTCCATGTCCTCCAATCCTGCCAAAGAAGTCAGGGTTCTTCTCTGCTTCAGCCTTGGTGGATTTCAAATTTGGCTTAAATATACAGGTGCTATTTGTGTGCAGGGTAGGGGTTAATAGGGAGAGGAAAAAAACAGGCGAACTTGGGAAAATACAAGTCCTTCCTTTCTACCTGGAGATGGAGTTCTATTTCAGGAACTCTCCAATTCTCATTCCTTGGAGGACTTTGCGTTTGGCTTAAGTAGAGGTGCATTTCCTCACTAAAATTCATGAGGTAGCTATGGAAACAGTATGGCAGTTCCTCAAAAATTAAAAATACAATTACCATATGATCCAGCAAATTCACTTCTGGGTATATACCTAAAAGAAATTAAAGCAGGGACTCAAACAGATATCGGCCCACCTATGTTCATGGCACCATTACTTACAACAGCCAAGATGTGGGTAGAAGCCAGGCAACTGTCCATCAAGGGATGAATAGATAAACAAAATGTGGTATATACATAGGATGGAATATTATTCAGCTTTAAAAAGGAAGGAAATTCTGACACATGCTACAATATGGATGAATCTTGTGGACATTATGCTGAGCGAAATAAGCCAGTCACAAAAAGGCAAATACTGTATGATTACACTTAAATGAGGTACCTAAGAGTAGTCAAATTCATAGAGACAGAAAGTAGAATGGTGCTTGCCAGAGGCTAAAAGAAGGGGGAATGCGGAGTTAGTGTTTAAAAGTATTAAGTTTCAGTTTGGGAAGATGAAAAGATTTGTGGAGATGGATGATGGTGATGGTTACACAAAAATGTGAATATACTTAATACTACTGAGATATATACTTAAAAAATGGTTAAAGTGGTAAATTTTTGTTATGTGTATTTTATCATAGTTAAAAATTAAAGAAAAAGAAGAGAATGTATGAGGTAGGAAGACATCTTCCCCAAGACCCCAAGCGTGTCACAGAATTCAGGGGACAAACTCTCTGGGCAGCTTAAGAGGTGAGAATAGCTCCTTTTGATTGTTCAGGAGTAGGCATCTCTCAAGAAGCAGTTCTGTATTCAATACAGACAGCCTTACTGACTTAAATTAAGTGCTAAAGTGAGAGAGACCCCGAAGAGTCAGGATTAGCTGGGGTCTATGGCATAGATCAGTAATTCCTCTAGTCTCATTAAATTGATTCGTTTTCATTTCCTTCTAAATTTCTCCCTCTCGTCTTCTATCTTGTTATTTCCAACATACAAATACTCCTATTAAATTTCTTTCCTTTGGTCTTTTTTCTTGGTTCCCCCTCCAAGTGGTCTTCTCACTGCCTAGGATTGTTTTCGGCTACTGTGACTTACAAACACTAAAGTAAGTTGGCATGCTCTCCTGCAAATCGAATGATTTATCTTATACATTGATATCCTCACCAATCCTTATCCTTAATTGGACCTGTGATTCCAATAGCAGCCACCAGGTGACATGTTTTGGAAAACTCAGCCTCTATCAATTATGGCAAATACTGCCTCTGGTGGCTGTAGTGAGATTTGCAGGCTGGTTGCCTCCGTGACAATTAACCAGGACTTAGGGGACACACCTGTATTAAAAAGCCAGCCCTTTTCAGTAACTCCAGGTGCTTCTGCCCCACAGCTCCAGCTGGTGTCATGTTCCCTCTTGTACCTTTAGCTCCAGAAGAACCAGTACAGTGCTATGTCTTCTTGTGAATAACCTGCCTCTAGTAAAAGACTGCATACTTCAGCCATAGCAGTACTGGAGAGGCCATTCTCTCCTATGGCCTCAATCTGGAGGTGAGACCAAACCTTCAAGCTCACTTTGTTTTACTATCTTTTCCAGATTCTGTTTTTAAATCATTCTCTCACAGAAAACCTCTCCTGGTTTTGTTCCTAGCATACCTTCCCCGATGCAGCTTCCTGTGCTACTTTCTTCCATGTCTGCTGTGTGAGAAGCTGGGTCTCCT